TATCTGTTCACTAATGTCCTTTAGGAAAGGAAACTGCCATCCTTACCTGGTCTGGCCTATATGTGACTCCAGATGCGCAGTGATGTGGTTGACTCTTAACTGCCCTCTGGGCAATTAGGGATGGGCAATAAATGCTGGCCTAGCCAGCAATGCCCTCATCCCATGAATTAATAAATAAAAAAAGAGAAGAAAATGGAGACATTGAACATATACATCCTGGATGAGAGCCAAGTGCACCAATCTTCAGACTGCCCTGACATTTGTTCAGCTGTTTTCCTATGTATATGCAGTGTATATGTTCTATTCTCTGACTTTGAATTCTCTCAATTATTGCCATCATCTTCTTTCTCTATATTTCTATTGTTCGACATTTCTCTGTGTCAAAGTTGTGAAATAAAGAGTGGATGATGACAATCTTGGAGGAAGGTGTGGAAAGTTTACTGTAAGGCTCAGTCTCTCCAGTTATCTAAAGCATTACTAAAAGGTGGCAGTAATGATCCTGGTGATGCATGAACTTTGTTTTTTTTCTGTCTACGCTGTGTCACTGAGAACTGAAAGGGTACCATTGGGCAGGATTACAAGAAGATAGCTTTAATCCTGAAAAGCCATCTTTCAAGCGTCTCTTCATCTTCAAGGCTAACAAGCATAATTGATTATCTATGATATAATCGCCCTGGCTGCTTTCTGAATCTTACAGTCTTACTAGTCCTTGACCAGCTTTGTAACAATGCAAGAGAAATTCATTTTTGCCCTTGTTAACGTGAGAGTTTCAAATGTTCAATAATGTAAGATTTTGATGTGACAGTGTCTGTGGATTTGGACCTAGATGCTAAGAAAAAGTAGTGTCCAGCGCGATGTGCCACCTCAGTTTCCTAAGATATTGCATTGTTCAAGCTGGCAGTCATCAGCTTTGTGCTCAGAAACATAACAAATCCAATGAAAGCAGCACCTGTTTCATACCCCTTTTGTTCATTTGGGAGAAGACATGTGGTGTTTGTCCTATTGAGAAAAGTATTACTTTGGTGCAAAGAAGGTCAACAAAAGTTGGTTGACCTCCTCTAGAAAACTAACCAAAAGGTTTAAAAATTAACAACTTTGTAATTCTTAAAACCGCTGTTCATAAGTTCCACATTGTCTGGAGGGCTTAAAGCAGATGACAATGTTCTCCAAGTACTTCCTGAAAGGATTTTTACCTCCAGAATAAGTCCCAGCCAAGTTGTTTGATGTTGGCTTCAGGCAATGCCATCAGACAATGTTTCTCTGCTTTAGCTCAGCATCCTTGCAGACTCCCCATTCATCAAAGTGTAATATCCTAATTGGATATCGAGTAACTCTAAACCAAACCTACATACTAAAACTCACTATCCACAGAAAAACCCTGCAGAAATTTTGGTTAGTGCATAGAATGTGGGCAGTCATCACAAAAATCACCACAGTTTTGGCCCTTTTCACACAATTGCTGCTGGTCTAAAGCTTTACACCAGCAGTCGCTAGGCTGAATTTATTGACATGTTTATGATACTTACAGTTGAAAAGTGAAAAACTTTCATAATAGACCATGTGTGGTCAGGAGTTGAATATGAGCCATGGCTGTGTTCCCAGACTGCATCCCAAAAGGTTGAAGGCAGTGTTATATAACAAAAGAAGGTGGTGAATGCAGGATAGTTCTGTATCAAAAGAGCCATGGACATTATATGTTGTACAGATGTTTTCTATATATTTTACTTACAATTGGGCCAAACTTTGTTCACATATCAATCAGCGGGTTGGTTATCATTAAATTAGATGCATTGACAATTGTTACGATGAGCAAAAATAATGCACAAAACATTCAGGAAAAATACTAAAATGTTTAAGATTAATGTTTAATACTAAAATGTTTAAGACTAAGCACTATTAAAATCTCTTGAAAGGGTGAACTTAGGTTCTGCCTTGGTCGTGTTTGCATTTCTTTGAAAAAACTTTCAACCTTAACCATCCAATTAATAATACATGATCAGATAGGTTAATTAAACACGTAACACTAGTTTAGTAGTTTGATCATTTGAAGAATTTTTTTTGAGTATGAATGTTATCAGTTTACTCCCCTCAATAGGAATCTGTGACAACAGTCCAAAAACCCGCGGTCTACATCACTAATAGATTTCATATTGATTAAAGAAGAACTTTTTTTTAGAAAAATAGCAATTTTTAAATTATTTTCTCATACATGGGTAAATAGGTGTAGTCGTGCTGGTGATATTACAATGTAAAGGCTGGAATTCAGATTCTACCAAGCAAAATTTTAAAAATCAAACTCAACAAGTCGAGCAAGTCTGTG